GGAGGAGGAGGAGGAGGAGGAGGTGGTGGTGGTGGTTGGGTGAGGTTGGGGGAAGTTGGGGGAGGAGGAAGAGGGGGGGAAGAAGAGGGGGAGGAGGAGGAGGAGGAATTCTTGTGTCATCAAAGGAAGAAAAGGAGTTAAATAAAACTGCGCTCTAATCGCTGCTTAAAAATAAAATGGCTCCTTGCCATAATTGCCAAAGAAATGCTTTGTAGGGCAGTAAAGAAAGTGAGTCATGGAGGCTGGAATGCCAAAAGTCCCTAAGAGGGAGCAAGAATAAGCAGAGAAACCCTACATAAATGATCTGTTGGTGCTCTTGGCCAGGTAGCATTGCCATCAGTAGCCATGACTCAGAAACTTGCTAATGACACTGGCGGTGACTATGACCTCAGTCTTGCCCTGGCTGGCAGAAACCAAACGCAAGCACACCATTGCTGATAAGTCTCTCTGGAATTTGATCCAGAGCCCATCCTAGCACCTTACCTCTGAACAATCTCATCCCATGGATGGAGGCAAAACACATGTCTAGAGGTCAAAGCAATGATCCTTTTGTCATCAGGGAGCTCATGCCTTTAGACTTAATCTAGCAAATAGTATATCTAATGATTGATTTGTTTTCTCTTTTGTATTACCCAAAGGCAGATGCATCTGTCAATCCCATTAATCTTGTATTAATCTGTGAAAAATATGTAAGAATAAGAGTTAAGTGTTCCTATCAGATCTTCTTTTTCCTTTCCTCCCTCCTCCTTCCCTATTGCTCTCCCTTCCTCCCTTCCTTCTTTTCTTTCTTTTTTCCAGTGCTAGGGATTGAACGTAGGGCCTCCTGCAATGTTTTACAGCAGAGCTACACTGACAACTCCAGACTTCTTAAAATACTAAAAACAGCTTTGAATCTATTACTACCTTTGTGAACTTTTCAAGGTGATTGGGGATTGCTGGAAAGAGAACAGCTTTATTTGTGACAAACATAGCTGACATAAGATAGGTGGTATAAGTGCTTTGAACACAGAGAGGCTAAGATTTAAAACTGAATAGAGCTGGGTGCTGGCGGCTCACGCCTGTAATCCTAGCTACTCAGGAGGCTGAGATCTGAAGATCACCGTTCAAAGCCAGCCCAGGCAGGAAAGTCCATGAGACTCTTGTCTCTAATAAACCACTAGAAAACTGGAAGTGGCGCTGTGGCTCAAGTGATAGAGCACTCACCTTGAGCTGAAGAGCACTGGGACAGTGCCCAAGCCCAGAGTTCAAGTCCCATGAACCCCCCCCAACAACAAATAAACAAACAAACAAAAAACAAAATAACCCCCTCCCCCCAAAAAACTGAGGAGATACTGTCTCCTATCTGCCTAGAAAGATGATTTTGAGGACAGGAAGGGAAGAGATCTTACTTGGACTGGATATCAACTGTTCCATGATTTGGCTGTTTTTGAAGAGTTAGCACTGTCTCTAAAGTGTGATAAATGGCTGTGATAAGTGAAAGTAACAGCACTGATTTCTCTGGCACTTATGTTTAAGGTTAGATGACTTAGCAATGCCAAAAGAGGTGGAAAGAAATCATCCTGTTACATCACATATTCGTGGCCTGCCATAATTCCTCCAAGTCTCTATCTATCAAGTCACCTGTTGCTGGTCCTAGGACTTGAACTGACAGCCTGAGCACTGTCCCTGAGGTATTTTGCTCAAGACTAGCACTCTACCACTTGAGCCATAGCTTCATGTCTAGCTTTTTTGGTGCCTAAATGGATGTACGAATCTCACAGACTTACGTGCCTAGGCTGGTTTCAAATCATGATCCTCAGATCTCAAGCCTCCTAGGTAGCTAAGATTATAGGACATGGGCCACCAGCACCTGGCTACCAAAACATATTTGTTAAGAGGATAAAAATATCTTTTTTGGTGTTCATACAAACAATAAAATATGAATCTAGGTATAGATCCTACCATGAGGTCTTCAGAATATGGGAAAATCCGATGTCGCTCCATTTGGTCACCTTTGAATTTCATGCCTTGGACAACATACATACACAGTCGATTGGCAAAGAAAAAGACTCATGGACTACGAAGTTGAAGAACTGGTTTGCGGGCCTAATTCTGCAGCTAACCTGTTCTGTGACTTCAGCTAAATTGTTTAATCTCTCTGTGCCTCCTTTGGTTATTCCATTGGTAGATGAAAGTGCCTGACTGAATTTTCCAGTTCTAAATACAAAGACTCTGTGATTCAGCACCACAGTAGCTGATACCAAGGAACAGAAAGAGAAAAGCCCTTTGTCCTTGAGTGAGACTTTCTGGTAAACTTCCTAAGAACATTTCACTCCATCTCCTTGAGCATAAAGACAGGTGCCTGTAACTAGATTCTTCTGGAGGTCCAAAGAAGCCTTTGGAGTCATAAGTGCTGGAATCTTTCATCTGATTTTCATAAGTGGCTGTTTTGTTTTTTTCTTTTATTAAGTTTTTTATTGTGAAAATACTGTACAGAGGGGTTACAGGTACATGAGGGAAGTGGCTGTTTAACAGTCCTAAATGGCCACAGAAATCAGGATAGTGAAATGACACTGCTTTTTCATTACAAAAATAAGTAAAATAAAATACAACAACCCTGTTATCAGAAACCTAGGATTTGAGCTAGGCAATGGTTGGTACATACTTGGAAGACTGAGATAGAAGGATCAAGAATTCAAGGCCAGCCTGGGCTACATTTTGACACTTTGTCATTAAAAAAAACAACAGCAAAAAATAATAAATATAGGACTTGAGGTGATAGTGCAACAACAATTAAAACTCCAAACCCTGAGACCTATACTGTACACTTATACTAGACCCAATTCCTCTGATAAAATCACTGAGTCTTGGACCGTATAGCTTCGTTGGGTGCCCACTGCTGTGGTGTAAAGATATCACAGAAAGACAGAAGTCATGCTTTGATTACCTTTGTAAACACGGGAGCTGCAATGATGGGTTTTCCATCCAATCCTTGCAAATAGTTGGTGGGACTCTGACACTGTCAGAAGGAAACCACAATTAGAGTCATTGGTAACACATGAGGAGAAAGATAGGAGAAACCTACAGAGTTTGATGTATACAATTATTCTCCAATCAAAAGTCTGAGGTCTGAGGTTGTGAATCACAGACTTCAGCTTCTAAACTGAATTGATAACATTTTTTCCCTTAAGTTTTGGCACCAGTGAAACATGTACTCACTCTCACCTCTAAACACGCGGAGCTACCTAAAGGTCAGTAAGCGTCCCCTGCAAAGACCTCATAACCTCCTGCATACTCCTGGGTCTGCCCAGATTACAGTCTGAAACCAGTGAATTAGAACTAAAACTCAACCTCTGCCCTACTAAATAGGTCAGATATGTAATTCTGAATTTTTAAAGTTGTAGGGCAGAATACTTAGTATACCTGTCATCAAAAGACATATTAATACGATTTTGCAAGGATAGTCAGATAGTATGATTTCATATGTTTTTAAAAGTATCTACTCATACATGCATAAAAATTTCTGGAACTATTTAGAATGTTATCTTCAGGAGGTACTTTTGAGGAGGGGAATGGTGATAGTACCCTGAGTAAAGATTTTTTTCCCTTAATATTCTTTTATACTTTGAATGTCTTCTTTTTTTTTCTTTTCTTCTGGTCCTGGGGCTTGAACTCTAGGCCCGGGCACTATCTCTGACCTTTATTTTTGTTCAAGGCTAGTGCTCTACTACTTGAGCAACATTGCCACTTCCAGCTTTTTCTGAGTAGCTTATTAGAGATAAAAGTCTCACAAACTTTCCTGCTTGGGCTGGCTTTGAACCACGATCCTCAGATCTCAGCCTCCTGAGTAGCCAGGATTACAGACGTGAGCTACCAGCGCCCAGCTTACTTTGAGTGTTTTCTAATAAGTATATATTATAAATACCAATTCAAAAGATGAACGTCTTTTATTGTTTTCTAAAAAGATAACTTCCTGCTTGCTCTAATTAGAAAGTAGAATTATTTGCAAATCCCTGAAATTGAATTTTTGTGGTACAGTGTCTGTCCTGGACCAGCCTGAGAGTTGGAGGGTGACCACATATGACATCAGCACACTTTATGCAGAATAAAGAACCAATCAGTTCCCAAAGCAATAGGGACCACCATCTCATACATTGGGGATGGGGGTACACAGTGATTTTCCATATGATAAAATTATAATACGGAGGACAGCATGATGGCCCTGCTCATATAAGATGGTCATGATCACAATGGATGTCCATCGCAGTCATGATAATTGTGTTCCAATTATGCAATCGTGATCACTGTTATACCTGCTGGATGGTCGATACTCTGGGCTGGGTTGCCAAATGCTGGGCTTGGGGCACTGCTGAAGGAATGGCTGCAGAGGTAGTGGGGGGTGATGACACCTCATTTGGCTTCTGGATTCTGGGAAATGATTGAAACATAGGGTATCAGACAGAAGTATAACTGTGAGAAAGTTTTTCAGCAAAACAAATAGTGCCCCCATTGCTTACAGTCAAATGTAATAAAAAATCTTGGACAACATTCTACCAAGAGCTTTGAATTGCTTTGTTAGTCAGTTCAAACACACATGCCTGTAGTTTAGACATTGTCTGTGGGGAAACAGGGTAAGGGGAAAGGGAAAGAGAGTGATGGAGGGTGGGATAATACCAAAACATGTGTGTGTATATGTGGCCTAAGATAACTCACTCAAAGCCGTTAAAGAATGGGAGTGGGGAGGGAAAATGAAGAGTTAATCTGATCCATGTACAACACATACATGTTGAAATGAATGGAATACCATGGCGAAAACCCTCTGTACAACTAATATGCGCTAATATAAAAAGATTATGACTTGCCAAGATAATTGATACACACACATGAAAACATAATCTAAATAATTCTAACATAGATAATAAATAACATTTAAATTCACCACATTCTGTGTTCTTTTGTTTTTAACTGTATTTTTTTTTGTCTTTTCTTTTTGGGTACTGGGGATGGAACCCAGGACATTGCACTTGCTAGGCAAGCGCTTTGCCACTGAGCTACATCCCAGCCCTTCTTTTTTTTTTTTTTTTTTGCCAGTCCTGGGGCTTGAACTCAGGGCCTGGGCACTGTCCCTGATCCTCTTTGTGCTCAAGGTTAGCACTCTATCATTTGAGCCACAAAGTCACTTCTAGCCTTTCCTGAATAGTTTATTAGAGATATGACTCACAAACTTTCCTGCCTGGGCTGGTTTTGAACTGCAATCCTTAGATCTCAGTCTCCTGAATAGCTAGGATTACAGGCAGGAGCCACTGGGGCTTGGCACATTCTGTGTTCTTATGAGTAATATTTAAACATGATTTTTTGTTTTTGTTTTTGTTTTTTTTTTTT